GATCCGTGTCGGCAGACGAAGGGCAGAGGAACAGCAGCTGGTCTTGTATGATGGAGTACAGCAGCGTCGGCGGGTTTGTGTTGGGCAGGTAGAGGAGCGGCGGGCGGGGGTCGGCGTGGGCGAGATAGAGCGGGAGGAGGATGCTCGAGGGCGGGGGGCGGTTGACGTAGACGTGCTCCAGGAGAGGCGTGCTGGAGGACGAGTTAGCCGCGGGGCACGAGAGGCGGGCGGACAGAGAGGGCAGAGAGGGCGGGGCTACTTGTGCTCGTCAAACATGTAGAGAGCGTCAATGGCGCTCATGGTGGGCGAGAGACGCGTGCGAGGACGGGAGACGGCCGCCCGCGCTCGTGGGCTTGTTTGGCGGGGGGGGGGCGGCCGCCCGCCGTGTCACGTCCACTCGCATACTTGGATATTTATATTCGGCGCAGACATGTCGCAACAGCAGGACCACGCGCACTTGGACGACTGCACGCCCTGCCGCGTCGTCGGTATGCCCGCCCGCTTCTTCGCCCACGGCGGCCCCAGGACTGACGAGAACATGCAGGCAGCGCAACCTTTCTTGGGCTCGGCGCCTTCACCTACGCCTCAGGCCACTCGCAGATTCGCGCCAATGAAGCTGCCATCCGCGCCAGCAAGAGCTTCTTTGGCGTGCGCAGCAGACACCTGGCCATCACAGGCACGAGCGCTGTCATGGTGGCATTGGGCGTCTATCGGTGGTTTTCCTAGGCGTCACGTGAGCAGGCGTTGGACATGCATCGTCACGCATTCACACGCACGCACGCACACACACACACATGTATAACAGTCCAGTCCTGTACAGAATATCTATGACGAGATGGATTGAACGGATGAAAAGAAAGGACTCGTATTGACAGCCCACCAGCTTCTCGTTTCCACAAAGCCCCACCAACCAGCTACCTAACATGGCCATCGCTCACCAAACGAAAAAAGGTATATTGCCCGGAAAAGTAATGAACACCAGAGAATGCGTCTATTAAGCCTGCCCCACCCAATGCATAGAATGATCAACAAGCCCACTGCGCCGTCTGGGGTATGATGCAAATAGTCGTGATTCGTGAGTCGTCGAGCTGCTGCTCTTCTTGTCGCAAATCGTGTTTCGATGGTATGCCCTCGAGTTTCCCTGAGCTGCCCTCTCACGACATGCGCCCGCGCTTGGGTCCGCCCGAAGAGCCGTCTCGCCCGTCGTTGAAACCGTCCACGTTGAAGAAGTCGTTCATGAGCCGCCGCTTCTGCCCTGCGCCATTGCCCAGCTGGAAGAGGTTTTGCGCCGCAGAGCGCTGGAGGTTTCGCGGGGCGGGGCGGTTCGACGAGCGGCGAGGGCTGGAGAAGGCGTGGCGGGCCGAGGCCGACATGTCGATTGCGTTGTTGTTGCTGTTGTTGTTGTTGTTATTGTCTGCTGTCGGGCCCGAGGGGAAGGCCTGGGGTGCGGAGAACTGGAAAACGTGGTGCAAGGGTGACAGCTCGGCTTCGGTCGTCATGGCTTCCATGTGCACCGGCGGCGGTGCAGAGTCGCAGCGGTGCCCGGCTTCCGCAGCTGGTTCGAGAGTGCGTGCGTCGTCGAGGCCGAGGTTTCGCTCCATGATGGGAGAGGAGCTGCGGGCGCGCTTGTCGTCCAGGTACTCCTCGTCGCTCTCGCTGCCCGACTGCTTGGGCAGAGATCCATCCAGGCGCTCGGTTGCCCACTGCCGTATCCGGCCTCCCTCGCCGCCGCCCGCCCCCATGTTCTCCTTGTCCAGGAAGGCCAGCAGGTCGTCCAGAGCCTCCTGGTAGCCGTCGGAGCGGGCCCTGTCGAGGTCGGCAAGCGCCGACTTGTACAGGTTGGTGACGTTGAGTGCCGCCGTCCGGAACGACTGGTGCACGTCGGGCTGTCGCCTCGTCTTGGGGAGCGACGTGTTCAGGCTGCGCATCGAATCCATGGCTAGGAATGAAGAAGCTTGCAGACGTGCGGTGGATATCGTCGACGCCGTGCAAAGGCTGCGTCGTGCCGCGATGAGCTGAAAAAAAAAGGCCTTGTGCAGCCGCTAGCAGCGTCTTGAGCTGGCCGTAGTGGAGCGAGTGTGTCCAGAATAAAGCAAGTAGTGCAGTAGATAAACAGGGGCGACGGTGGTGTACACTCGCAAGGAGCGTGGGAAGAGTCGCAGGTGAGGTCGCTCGCCGGTCGCCGTCTCTTCCGCGGGGTTCACTCTGCCACGATTCTTTAGGCAAAGCTTGTTGGCTCGTGCACCTTTACTGGCAGTCACGCAGTCGATCGCCTTTGGGCCGCTGGTAGCAGTATTTGGATTGTGAAGAGCAATTCGCGAACAATTTCACCTTTGAGTAGTTCTATTTGAGCATGTAAAACCTATACTCAGAATCCCTAATTGTCCATCTTACATAGCATGTAACTTTTTCGCGTCTCTAATCAAGATATTCAAAATAAAAATAAAAATACACACTGCCCCAAACGGATATCCTGTGACCCATGGTCAATGATTCACACATTGTATAGCTATGCCTAGAAAGGAATTATATAGTTGATATTATCTGATTGATGATTACATCCAATGGCAGTGGTGCTGCTAGTGTGTTCTCGGCATTAGCTGATTGCAAGTACCGCCCTATCCGCCACCTAACCACCTTACCACACCTTCGAATGTCAACATCATCACGTCCCTGCACTGCCATCTCCAAGCCACAGCTAGAATGACTTAATCACAAAATACATAGACACAGTCTATGTCCTCACCATCTACGTTCTTTATCATGACGTCGCCCATGGAGAGCCTTCCAGTTGAGCTCTTTGACATGATTGCTGCTCATCTCAGTCTATCAGAACACCAAACCCTCCGTCTGACTTCACGGCGGTTACACCATCTCGTCCATACAAAATTTGTTTGGCTCGCCTTCTCTGAGCAAAGCACTACTCTCGGTCCGTCTTCATTGGACCGCCTCATCAAGGTGTCGAGCCATCAAGGTTTCCGCGAGGCTGTTAAGATTCTCCACATCCGGCTACTGAACCAAGAAGAATACGAAATATTAAACACCATAAAGCGCGTGGGTCGCTTCCCTCCCCCGAAACGGTTCCCCAGAACATCGGGAATCAAAGACAAGCACATCTTCGACGAGGCAACGACATTTGACTACGTGATGAAGAACGAGCATCCAACACGGCTGTACGATGGGCTTACCAGAGTTTTGAAAAATTTGCCTCGGCTGAAAAGCGTCAGCTTCAGTGCGAAGACGTCCGCGCCCTCTGTATGGGAGCTAGGTGCGGAAGCCGACCATGTATTTCGAAGCAGGTGCTTTGAAGCCGTCACGCATGCTATAACCCACAGCAGGGTCAAGTTGGACGAGTTCAGCATGGCCAGAAGAAAACGCCGCAGGATATTTTACAAACAGGCGGATGTGTCATTCGTAGCGTTCCATCTAGGTCCGCAACTCCAAGCGCTGCAGCTGTGCTTCTCCAACCTCCAGTCTCTCACGCTATCCATCATTACCGGATATGGCGCACCACGCCCGGATGGCTGGACCAACAGAATTTGTGGCTTCATCGCCGCCGCACCCAAGCTGAAGAACTTGACCTTGAGTTTAGATCGCATCGACAGGTTGTCCCAGTACAGCTGCGCCACGGTAACATGTTTGGCCGCTTCCTGTCGACTATCGTATCTCGAAAAATTTGAGCTTGTAAACTGCGCAGCGCATGGAAAAGATCTAATCGAACTCATCCGCGCCCACTCGTCATCGCTACGACACATTGTCGTTTCCAACATTCGCCTGGTAACGAGCAAATGGTGTCTTACATTGGATGCTGTCAAAACATGTCCACAGCTGAAGTATCTGCAGCTCGTCGCACTTGAAGACCGGTGGACACGCATTACGACCGGAAGGCAATATCAGGATCGCGTGCAGCTTGCATGGGACGTTCGAAAGGACAATCAAAACATATCTGACTGGCTGCTTGCGATCAATGACGATAATCACTACGATTGAGCCACCGGGTTTTCTGGACTACATTATGCAGTGCACAAGAGAAGACATAAGCAGCTAAGGCTGAGTCTCCTCCGACTGTGGAGTTGTGATCAGTATCGCGATTGTGCTGCCAGCGACTCAATTAACCTAAAGAGGCGTTCATTTTCTGCTTCGGAGAAACCAAGCCATTCAACGGAAGACACGTAGTGTGGCTTGATCAGGCGGATATGACCGCATCGTGAGTGTGTTCACAGCATGGTCATCTACCACCGTCGGGTGGCGAAGCAAAGTAACCCATCCTGATAGCTGTCATTGGGCATCCTCGCAGAATCCCCAGGCATTCCTACACGGACTATTGTGCTGATCTTTGAATCATTAAAGCTGCAATAGTAAACTCAACAACAAAAGTAGCCTAGTGAGCAAAACATGTCAGACGCCAAGACGACATCAAGGGGCTCGGATTATCCAGACTACTTGACGATAAATGCGGGAAGTGATCGGTTCCAGAAGTCCTCGGTCTAGAAATGTGGGCCTGACAGCCGTATTCGCCCAAGTAAAAACCTAGACATAGGTATTGGATGGATATTCCCACCGGTCGAGATGACGGTGAGCCGGAGCAAAAGCAAAGGAGGTACGTGAGCAAGCTGACGGCGAGGGTCTAGTCATTGAGATTGAGCCGCCGCGGACTTGTGCCTGACTGCTGGTAGCAAAGTACAGCTGAACAACTCTTCCCGCACTCTAGCTCGTGGCATATCTTTTGTAGGATCCCAACATGGTAATTACATTGATCTTGTTTCCTGGATAGGCATAGCCTCTGCACCCAAGGTTAGTTGCATGACGTACTTACTAGGGGCATACAACGCGGGATCCCATATCCGCGTGCCGTCACGTCCAGCCAGTTCTCACGGCTTTCAGCTCTCCTATCTCCCGTTCCCAAGAATTGCACGGCCTTGAACTCGCCTCTTGTTTCCGGTGCATGAACACAAGTCACCCCACCGCAGACATAGTGGCCCATATCAATAACATGCACGGTGCTCCTCAACAAGACGCCCCAAGGCTACACGGGCACTGTACATGCTCACCTGCGCCTTGTAGATCGCAAGCAAGTCCTTCCCACAAACTGTAGTCACGTCGACAATCCCTCCGCCAGTGTAACTAATCTCACTGCAGACCCTGCCTCGTTCCGGGTAATGTACCCTACTAGTTTTGGATTCCCCCGTAAATCATCCCAGCGACACCTACCCCACACAGGCAAAGATCCTCAACACATACTCAATACACGCTGGTTCTTCTGAAGCAGAGCAGATGTAGCCAACTGATTGATCCTACAAACGCCACTTGCGCGCAACGAGAAGCTTGATTCGACTTCGATCAGCAGCCGCGCATGGGACCATGCGCCAATCGAGCCTGCTGTAGTCGTGCTCGTGTGGTGGTTCTGGTGGCGAAGATTGACCTGCATCACATCGGACCTAGTCGACAGTGAATGAGTATGGTGCTGCGAGGTAAACCCAGAGAAGAAGACTGCAAAAGAAGCATTCCATCGTACGCAGGTACATGCCTGGACCTGTTACATGTTTGCTTCAAGATGAAGAACGAGAAGAAGGAAAGGGAAAGAAGGAGAGAAAGAGACACAGGCACTGTCTCTGCAAAGGAACCATAGCCGTTGCGGCAGCACATGCCCCCTCCTACGTGTCAGTAGCCATAGTGTTCTGATGCCGTACGATGACATGTCCGGGCGCACAAGAAAACGGCACGTACGTATGTAAGCAGCGCAAACAGTCCCATTCTCAGCGAGGGGTGAGCACCTCCGGGTCCCCGCGTCCAGATGCGAACGCTTGTTTGCTTGGTGCTTGGTGCTTGGTGCTGCTGGTACTATTGCTGCTATTGCTGCAGTAATTGTTATTGCTATTGTTATTGTTATTGTTATTGTTATTGTTATTGTTATTACCGCCCATGCAAGCACAGTTCCCCCTTTCCCCCCCTGTTTTCAACCCGTCTCTTTGGTTGGCCAAGAGAGGGGGAGCCTGAGGCGCCGAAACTGTATGTACGAGATTTTCTTTCCAACAAGATGTATTAATAACTACCCATGGTGCTGCTAACCCTGTGCCCTGAGACGATGCATGCACCCATGTCCATGATGTAAGCGCCCAGGGTGGCGGATGAATAAGCCGTGAGATTTGGCAGAGTAAAAGTTACGCTAAGTAGCACTAGTAAAACTTTCCCGCGAGGTAATGCTCCACCCTCTCACACTCGACCTTTTACTCAGCACACTGGGCGCTTTGCCCTGCCGTTTTTTTTCTCACTGCACGGTACACATGCACGGCCCCGTGTCTGTCGACTGGGAAATTTCGCCCTGGGAATATGGTGATAAGCGTTCGGGGTGTATACAACGGTCCTAGGGGGGGGGATGTGGGGTCCGGACACGGCTCGCATAGATCGTAGATGAGAAGGAGGAGGAGGGGGGAGGTGAACCTTGCAGCTGGGCGAACGCTGTCTACCTGCCAAATATTGAACTTTACTACGCAATTTCCGAGCTCTCGTTAGCAATGCGAGGCCGCCCATTGGCAGGATTACGGTCGTGCTGCTGCTTCTGCTTGCTACGTGCTGCCGTCTTACATCAACTCTTCTGGCTTGCCACTGCAGTCACTTGACGACAAGTAGTAAAGAAGCATGCTAGGGCTTACGCGCAACTGTATTTTATCCTTTGCGAAGTTGATATTGTTGCTTAATTTTGCGTTTCGGTTTTCCCGATGGGCAAAGACATGCAAAAACTTTGTCGATTTCTTTTTTTAATTCGCCCTCCACCGTCTTCTGTCAAAGATATCTTGAGCCCGTTTCGTCCCTCAAGTTGTGCTTTTTTTTCTTCTCTCCTCACCCTCACCACCACTACCATCTTCTCATCCTCCTCCTCTTCCTCTTCCTCCTTTCGTTAGGTCTTGGCCATCTCATCCTCATAATCACTTGAAAAAAGTATCAAGGGTACAGACTACTCGAACCCGTCATCCTTCCAATCCATTCAAAATGCGTTTTTCACCAATCCCCCTCCTCGCTGTGCTGGCAGCAACACCCATCTTAGCCGAAGAGCTCGCGCCGCGATATGATGCCTGTCCTCCTGTCTGGAAAGACGTTGTAAATTATCTCAAGCCCAAATTCAGCGGTTGCTCTAGATCCGCCCACAAAATAATTCGCGCAGCGTTTCATGATTGCATCAACAATGGGTGTGACGGCAGCTTAGCCCTCAGTGATGAGCGCACCCATCCTGAGAACCAGGGTCTTCAGGAGACTTGCGAACTGGTTGTGGATTTGAAGAAGCGATTCAGCGTCAGTGCGGCCGATGCCATTCAGTTCGGCGCTGCCCTGGCCATTGCCTCGTGCCCGCTTGGCCCCAGGGTTAGGGCCTTGGTTGGAAGACACGACCACTCGCAGCCAGCGGAACGCTTTAGTGTGCCTTCGAGCAGAGACTCGGTCAACAAGATCTTGGTTGCCTTCGATAAACACGGCCTTTCACCCAGGGATGTCGTAGCGCTCCTAGGAATCCACAGCGCTGCTTTTCAGGAGTTCGACATCCCATCCCTAGGAGTCGTCGCACTGGATTCTACGCCCTATATTGACGACATGAGGTATTACCAGGAGACGATTGCCGGAACTGCACCCCACAGTCTCCAGAGCGACCGTCTTATGACAAAAGCTCCTCAGGTACGTTCTCCCCCCCTTCATGTTTAGCATTTGTCTCTTTTTTTTTCTTTTGAGAACCTTACTGACCCCTTTGCAACAGACTAAAGACGCGTTCGCGGAGTTCGCCAGTGACGCCTACGCATGGAATAAAGCGTTTGTTGAAGCTTTTGGCCGCCTGTCTACGATCGGTAACGAGCATGTCAAATTCACTGACTGCTCCCATTTGATCCCCAACAGCCCCCCTGTCCCCAGGAAGAGGCAGATCCAGAACTTGAAGTTTACCCAGAAGTTGGCCGAGAAGTTTGGCGTCTAAAGCTACTCACTACGTGAAGAGACTCGGAGGGGAGGCGTAATAGAGGTTTGTCGTTGGCGTGCCGAGTCTTTTCGTTATGGCACACACCTCCAAGTCTTAGAAGGTGCCATATAAAACTGTGGAAAGGGGGGGGTTTACTGAAGGCGAAGTGTGTGGCTGGGGTTTTAGAATCAAAGATCTTTACCTTTGGCTTTCTGTGAACAAACTTTTGCTGTGTTCTGTTCCATACATGGTTCTGCAAACTGGGATCATGCTTGATAATGCTGTATGCAACGGCGCAATGCCCAACTCCAAAATATAACAAAAATGTGGTGGGAACAGATATAAAGAACAGGCATGGTGGTGGTGACCACCATCTCTGGGTCAAGTACAGGTCTGATGCCAAGGCGCCATGCCTCATCAGGCTGGGCCACAACACTGTATGCCTTTGGAGTGACCAGTATGTATACGTTTTTCCTTTACTCCCTGTGTTCCGAATGTTCTGTTTCATCATATTTTATCCTTGATCTGTATCAATAACCGCAGTACAACTTCAGAGACACATGACGAACAACTCGACCACAATCTGCAGCTAGAGCTGTAACGCCAAACGTCTGTGCCTTGACTGCATCTTTGAAACAGCTCGCACAAAAACCAGAACCCTCGAGTTCATTGTCCCAGAGAAAACAAAACACTACCCCCTACTATGAATTACGCCTAACCAAGTGGAACATGACAAATGACGAAAAATCAAGAATTGGATGCAAATCAAGTGTGGCAAGGTGTGAACAAGAATCGTCATTCGAGAATAGTAATCAGCAATATGGCTACAAGAATAAAAGTTCTCCTTCTAGAGGAAGTATATGTACAAGCATGCAAATATGTAATGCAAATGTCGCTTACATGAGGGCCTCAATCATACGGCGGATCTTAGCAGCAGAAGCGCTACCAGCCTCCTTCTCGAGGAAGGTAATGAAGGTCTCGAGAGTGTACTTCTTCTCGCCGGCACCCTCGGCAGGCGTAGAGGAATTAGTGGCGGGCTGGCTGGGCTTAGCAGCCTCAGGGGTTACTGAAGAGGGTTCAGCAGAGGGCTTGGGCGCGGCAGGAGATGGCAGATCAGCCTCGTAGGAAGCAGCGGGCTGAGAAGGCTGGGTGGGCTGGGGGCCCTTGCTGGGACCTGGCTGGTTGGCATCAGGCTTGAGGCACTGGAAGTAATAGGGGTTCCACTGCTTGCACTCAAGGCCCTCGGCGCATTGGGTGGAGCCCCTGTAGTTTATACCACCACACTGGTAGTATTCCTTGACGGGGCAAGAAGGCGAAGCAGTAGGAGACGGGCGGACGGTGGTCATCATGGTCGTAGGGGCGGCAACGGGGCTGGAGGAAACGGTGCCGGGAATGATAGACGAAGTGCTGTTGCCGACAGAGTAGGGGGGAACAACCACAGGAGTGGGGGTAGCCTCAGCAGGGGCAGCGGAATGGGCAGCGGAAGAAGGCTTGGCCTCGACGACAGCGCTGGAAGCGACAGGGGTGGAAGAAGCGATAACAGAAGCAACGCTTGAAGCAGGAGTCTCGTCACCAGCAGGGGTCTCGTCACCAGCAGGGGCTGTGGCATCTGGGACACCAGCAATCTTGCCAAAGGTCAGTAGCTGAGGCTTAGCCTCAGTACCGCCAGCAATGAGCTTAGGGCCGGGGGCGGGGTAGGAGTCGAGGTTGGCGTGGATGGAGAAGCCGAGACCAGGGCCAGTCTTGGTGTAGGCCTCAGGGAACTTGACACCCTTGGGCACGAGGGTTCCGCTGCCGGTAACGGTGAGCTGGTAGCAGGTCATGTAGTGCTGAGCACCACCGGCAGAGCTGGCGGCGTGAAGAGCAATAGCCTCGGCACGGAGGAGGTAGTCACCAGCGGCAAGGCCCTCTGGAATCTTGAAGCTGAGCTTTCCGCCTATGCTTGCGTCAGTAGTGTAGAGGATAGTGCTATGACAGACTTACAGTTGTAGTTGAGGTCCTTGGTACCCCAGAAGTCTTCGTCTCCCTGAGACGCCTTGGGGTTCTTGGCCCACGTGTTCTCGTAGACCTTGAAGAACTCGCTGGAACCATCAGCAGATGCGGAATCTTCGACCTTGGACATGTAGGCGAGAACAGGTCCCCAGTGGGCACCGCCAATGGCCTGGTTCTCGCAGTTGCGGTCGTTTTGTTGCTGGTGCATCTCGATAGTAACTTCGTCACCAGCTGCGAAGGCGCACTTGCCCTTGGCAGGGGAAGGGCTGACATTGCCTATGGGACATGTGAGTATGGAAGGGGGCAAGATACACGGCAGACATACACTGAAGGGCGTTGCTGGTGTAGTCCTCGACGGGGCTGTTGGTGGTGGGCAGCCTAGCACAGGTGCTCTCCAGATCCTTTCCGTTCTGCCAGAGCTGCTGCCAAGTGGCGTGGGCGTTGGCCAGGGCGGCCAGGGCGGCGAGAGTTGCTACGGTCTTCATGGTGTGCAGGGCGATGTGGGGTAGTGGTGTCGGTCTTGTCGGCGTGGGAATGAGTGTTGGGTCAAGCAAGTGACGAACGAAAGACGGAAAACAAAGAAAGAAGAGACGAATGAATGACGATGACTTGCAAAGAAGGAATGTCCAGCGCAGCTGCGTTGCCGTTCCACCCAAGGGAGGGCTGGACGACTTATATTGTCGTTGGAGGGGGAGCCTCTCTCGCAGGGCAACGGTTGGAGCCGTGTGCATGGTTAGCCGTTTCGCGTGCCCGGCGTGTGATATCGAAGGTGCCGCAGGGAGGCAGTGTGTTTGAGGCGGCGGCATGGACAGAGGAACGGCGGCTATGCCGCAAGCAGGCCTTGGGCACATCAAAGCCAGGCCGGTGGGTGGAGTTGCAGTTGGCGAGCGCAGGGCGACCGTTTCTAGGCGGCGACTGGTGCCGGCTGTCAGCGCCGAATCGGGCCTAGCGCGCGGGCTGAGACAGGACGCTGGCATTGGCGACATTGGCTTGGCATTGCAGGGGCGCGTGGGGGGATCCTTTCGTGCATCGCGGGAGCACATCCTGTCCAGCAACACGATCCATTCCACTACAGCCTCGGCGGATGCCATACCTGCAGCCCACTAAGTGCACTTGCCGGAGACGACAATGACTTGAGGGCCGCCCGGCGCCCTGCAAGGCGCAATGTCGGATGAGCAGCCCGCCCTCGCTCTGCCTCGACCGCGCCGTCATCTTCCTTCTTGCCGATAACGACGTCGCCATAGCCTTGAGCGCCTGCATCTAGTCAGGGGCAGCGCCCTATGCAATCTTACCGCACTGCGCGATGGAATGCATTGCGGGTCAACTGTGGTGGCGCCCTGGGAACGGGAGAGCCCTTCTCCAACACGGCCACCCCACGAACACGCCTTTCGGTGTTTTGTTTCCCGGCGTATAGAACCCCCCCAAACTCAACTCCCCAGCGTGTTTCCTGGCCTTGCCAGCCCTGTCAGAAGGTAGACGGCAGGCCATGTTCGCCGTCAGTATCCGAGGAACGCTCATTCGGCGCGCGCCTCGTCGGAACATTGTGGTGGAGTAAACCGAAACACCTTCTGTGCGATCGCTTCATGGATGTGGATCCCTCGGTAGCGCTCAAGGACAACAGCGACTCGAGCATGCGCTCCAAAACACCACAAAGCGGCTAAATAGCACGGTTAAGTAGCCTAGCATCCAGTGTCGCGGCAGATGAACCGACAAGGGTTACCGCTGTCCCACACACATTTACCACCATTGCCCGGCCTTGATTGTTTCTTGTCATTATGCAAGACCATGCCATGCCCTATTCTGGGCGTCAAAACACTGCTTCAACCGCAAGTATATGCCTGAAGAACGAAAAGGCCCGGCCATCATAGTGTTTTGACCGAGTTTCCGGGGCTCCGAGAGGGCTGCATAATTGTGAAAGCGACATGACGACTGCTGTCACAGTTTTCTGCCATCTTCAAAGCTCTTGGTCAGACCTTGTACCCCCAACTTCGCTAAGACATTGACCTACGTAAGGTCTCCACCGTTCATCTATCTTGGCAATTAGCTTGGGACTTTTCCAATAACTCTTGGTCTTTCGCCTACCGATAGCGTCTTCTCCATGTCAAAGACGGTCCCATTCATCGTTCAAGGCGCAGCATGTATAATTTCCGTCGAGCACTTTGCTCAGAGATCTTCGTCTGCAATTACCGTGGCCTCACACTTCAGCCAAATCACTCCGGGAAACTGGGTCAATCGGCATGACCTCGATATTGACGAGTAGTGGCGTGGTAGAATGCTGATGCGCTCTATGGGACAAGTTGCAAGTCAAAGGCTCCTGTAAGAGCCTCTCCGGCCTCCTACCCGCAACGACAAGGGAGTGTAGATCGATCCTCGGTCTCATGAGGTCCTTTGTGACCATAATACTAGACTTGAGAGTCTTTTGACGGTATGTTGATCAAGGTGTGCCAGGTCTGCAATGTGATCAGTAATTGATAGATCCCACAGGCACTGTCACCACGGTACCTTCGAAACGGTTCTCGATACCATCCCATCACTCACTCTGCGATCTCGCAACGCTCTTCTGGTACAAAATACCTTCCGAACCATCCCGCCCAAACACCAAAGCGAAACCCCCTGCATCGAATGCAAAAACATATGACGCGCCTGATCCGATTGTCCAGTGGGTGACACTACTGTGGCTTTCACGAAGCAACGGGAGCAGGCCCAATACCCCTATTCACGACAAGTGTGAGGAAGGCGGGCGCAGGTAGTGTGATGATCAGGCCAAGATAGGTCGTGTGTCAAAGCCATTTCCACCAGCAGCCTCTCGAGGACTTATGGCCGTGGCTATGGCGTGTGATGTGTAAGACGTGATCAGATTATCCCAGGTTTGCTAACTATGCTCTGCCGCTGATTCAAGACACTCTGTCCTGCCTGCCCCCTTTTTCAGAGGTCTTGTGGCTGCTGTAGCTTCCGTTAGGCGTACCATGCTGATGCAGCTGAACATCATGCCGCGCGGTTCAACTGCCCTGCGAACCCAGGGCGACGCTCTTCTTCGTTATTGACATGCATAAACGAGTGTCAGTAAGGGCGCCTGATGCAATCTGGCGATCACTGGCTATGCTATGGGCTGCAATGTCAGCGGTTATGGCTCGCAACGACAGCGCAGGTCGGACCCTGAATTCGCAGCATGTTGGGTTAGCGATCACGATGCCCATCAGCAACATACGAGAGCACACACACACTTGTCCCGAGCGGCGAGCCGAAGTTTATTGGCAAGACTGATTGCAGGACTGAACATGGCGCTACGCTCCAGACTCAGCGATGAAAAGCACCTTGGTGCTTGTTGGGTGCAAAGTGTTGCAACCTGGGCTGACATTCTGACATTGTCGAGACAAGCCTTGGCGCCTAGAGGCTATGAGATACAAAGTCTTTTTGGGCTCAGCCCACCAAGATATACAGCGAGCCCAGAACATTAGGCCAGGCTGCGGTGGCGCGGCAGCATCAGCTCTCATGCAAACAGGTCACACGCTAAGTATCCCGAGTAATGTGCCCAATGCAGGGGGCTATTCGAGAACGCCATTACGCCTGCTACGAGGCTTCCAAAGAGCCGGCGGCCGAAGAAAAAGCATGGAGAACGCATGGCTAGTTCACCTAGCCACTTCCGCACCTTGGCAGCGCTGGTCCACAGTGGATATTGACGTCGACGACTTGGTGTAGCAATGGCGGTGCCTGGCAGACGATTCTGGCTAGTCGGCACTGACCCCTATTCTGATCGCCCCGTGCGTCGCTAGCCAAAGCTTATTTTTACATCTCAAACACGACCAGCCGATGGATTGCTTCTTTCCTTGCGCCATCTCGCTTCTGCCCCTCCGCATAATCAAAAAGCATACCTGTCTTCGCTTGCGGTTTGCGGGTTACCGTTGTGAGACCTGTCCACACACACTGCGAGTGTGTGATGGCTCAGAGCTAAGTACCCCGCTTCCATCACAAGACGCATCACATCTTGTCGCTGAGCCTCAACCTCGACACACAGACCCCGCCATGCTACGAGCCGCGCCTGTCGGCTCCCCAAAAGCAATGTCCGCAACCATGGCTGGTTAGATTCTTTCTGATTATTACCTAGTGCTGCCGCGTACATGCCTGCCCGGTTCCAGGCACGCTGCACGCAGTTGCGCCACGCGCCGGCACTAGATACCGAAGGTTTCTTGTCACGACATATACAACGGTACGCGAAGCCACTGATAAACTTAGTGCAGATCTTCTACCACTAGACGTAGTGTCGGTATCGAATGGCTCTCTTAGTGTGCCGGATAGGGCGGGAGCGCCTGAATGGCGCAGTGTGGCGTCGAATTCCATCTCGCAAAGCAACCTCGGACAGGTCGCTGCATCCACGCGATTCGTACCTGAGACCCACATGGGGAAGATTCACGCCTTGTCCAATCTCGAATTCGCCTCTTCAGGTAACTACACACGATGGAGTGTCTCGTGTCTACCGTCTTTCGGCCTTGCCCCTCGCTTAGGCGTATACCTGGATCCACTGTCGAACAAGCACATTGTGGTTGGCCGTAGAGCACGGTTCAGTGATGATCATTTATATATGCCATCTGCCTTGACATTTTGAAGACGGCCAGTTGCTTTTCAACCCAGTCATTCGTTCCTTTTCCCGGTCGCTCACAGGGCGTGTTCGAACCCTATTGTGTTGTCCTTCATTCCTTAATACACCATGGTCACCTACAGTCATTACCTTGCCGCTACGGCATCGATTTCTTCTGTCTACGCCAGAGCCACTCCTTCTGAACTCTACCACGCCTCGGAATGCGGTGCGGCGGCGACTGTCACCGTCACTGAGTACGCCACTGCTAGGCCGACCACCAACGCCCACGGGCACGGTGGGCTGTACTACAACGAGTACAACGATGTGCCCCTTCCATTCGAATGGCCAGGAACACCTGAAAACGGCGAAGTCTACCCTCCTCCACAGCCACCGACTCCTTACTCGTATGGAGGTCCGGCCAAAGACGCCTACCAGGCACCGGGATGGGTTCCAAATGGCGTCAATCATCTCATCCCCTCTCTTCCGAGTACCGAGCAATGCGGAAACTCGCATTGGGGACTGATTGACAACCCTCCTCTTCCACCTAACGGCCTTCCAGGTGGTCACCCAATCCACTCGTATCCTTCGTACCCAGCCGGCCCTACAGGCGGCCCAGCTCCGCCATCTTACAGCGGTGTTTTCCCTAATGCCACGGTCTCTTCGGGCATGACTCGCCCTACTAATATGCCTCCTTATCCTACCATGTCTTACAATGGTTCGGCTATCCACCCCCCTGGCCCTACGAGTACTCCTGTGGGAGATCGTTTCTGCCCTACTATGCCCGACACTGGCGTAACCAGGACTTATGATCTCCACCTCGCCTATCAGACCATTGCGCCAGATGGCGTGACCAGGAATGGTTTGACTGTCAATGGTCAATTCCCGGGACCTCTCATTGAGGCCAACTGGTGAGTGCAAAACAGCGCTCTTTTTTTTGTGCTTCTGCTGACTTAATAGGGGTGATTGGATTCTGTGGAGGGTCACCAACGACCTTACAGACGAAGGCACCACACTCCACGCTCACGGTCTTTTCCAACAAAACACCAGTTGGTATGACGGTGTCCCTGCAGTGGCCCAGTGCCCTATCACACCCAACGGTGGCTACTCGGAGATGTTGTTCCGCGCCGATCGCTTTGGAACCTCTTGGTATCACAGTAAGTTGATACACCATATTCTTGTCGAGTCACACACTAACTTGGACAGGCCACTACAGCGCGCAGTACTCTGGTGGTGCTCACGGCCCCATGGTTATCCACGGTCCCAAGTATGAAGAGTATGACATCGACGTCGGCCCAGTCATCCTCGAGGACTGGTATCACGCTGATTACTACTCTTTGGTCGAAAGAGTCATGGCAGGAAGGTTCCCTCCTTCAAACAACAACCTGATCAACGGCCGCATGAACTTCCCTTGCGCCAATACTACTCTGCCTTGCGTGCCCAATGCCGGTGTCTCCAAGTTCCAGTTTCAATCTGGCAAGAAGCACCTGCTTCGTCTCGCCAACATGGGTGCCGAAGGCATCCAGAAGTTTAGCATTGACGGGCACGTCATGAAGGTCATCGCTGTTGATTTCGTCCCGATTGAGCCATACACGACAAATGTTGTAACCCTCGCAGTTGGCCAGCGCTCGGACGTCATCATCGAGGCAGTTGGCAAGCCCGGAGACTCGTACTGGATGCGCTCTCAACTCGCGCAGGGATTCCGCTGCACGCTTGACGATGGAGTCTCACCAAACGCCCTTGCAGCCGTGTACTACGAGGACGCCGACACCGACTCAATCCCGACCTCCGTCTCAGACGTTACTCAGGATCAACTGGAGCAGTGCAAGAATGACGCGCTTGACCTGAGCAAGCCTCTGTGCAAGATCCCGCTGGAGGAGCCCGACCACACCGAAGTCGTCAACTTTGATTTCCGCTCCAATGGCACAAACTTCATCTGGTTCCTCAACAACAGCACTTACCGTGGCGATTACAACGACCCGACGCTTCTCATTGCCAAGAAGGGCGGAAACACATTCCCACCTGAGGCAAACGTGTACCAGTTCCCTGGCGCAAAGAACGTCCGCATCCACCTTGTGAACAACGCCATGGTTGGTGGCCACCCGATGCATCTTCACGGCCACGACTTCCACGTCCTTGCTGAGGGCTACGGCGCTTGGGACGGCACGATCATCAACCCAGAGAACACGATCCGCCGCGACGTGCACCAGATGACCAACGCGCGCAATGTCAGCGGAGTGATTGAGCCATCGTACATGGTGATGCAGTTCACGCAGGACAACCCTGGAGTCTGGCCACTCCACTGCCATCTCGCGTGGCACGTCAGCGGTGGCCTGTTCATGCAGATTCTGGAACGCCCAGAAGACATTCGCCAACAAGACTTTGATGAGGATGTGTTTGACCAGTGCGACAAGTGGGCTGCTTACACAGCAGACAACTTTGTCAACCAGATCGACTCGGGCCTGTAAATTTAACCCCTGTCCATGCGCTACGTGCATAATCTTTTCGAGGGCTGTACAAATTCCACTTTAGACAACGTTCAGGAGTGAGCTCTTAATCTTCTTAATACCTATTTTTTTTATGTAGCTTTCCAATTGGAGGTAATTTGTTCATTGTGTTTCTGCCGTGAGCCCTGCTTACGATCAGCTGTGCCGTGCCATCGACTGTGAATAACGTAGTGCAACGTCTTACGGGGGGCGTCAGTGCGGAAACCTGCATAACGCCACGGGGCGCCGGCTTCGCGACGGATGTTGTTATTGCTATTGGAGCTGTTTCAGCCGCAATACTCTCCCCGGATTGTCACCGTTGGAGTTGAGCACTGTCGCTGTCATCGTCGGGTGGCACGCGAGCCGCAATCCGAGACTTGATACGCCGAACCTGCCACTGCATGCGCCATCGGTACAATTGTGCAGGGCGCTTTTTCTGGCAACATCTTGCACTTTTTGCTCATTGTCACGAGTTGCTCTTTGCAGGTCCCTTCAGTTGTAACGTCACTGTCTGAGCCCGGGTTTCGCACTCCCTTTCCAGGGTCCACAGACACTGAGTCTCCCGACAAAAAAGCAATACTTATCTTCCATTTTACTTATTCCTTAGCCACCGGACCACAACACCAAGACATATCCGACGGATTGACGCGTCAACCAAGATAACGTGTTTTATCAGTAAGCGGCCCACATCAGTAAGTGGCCCACCCCACCAAACCTGACGCGACGCTCTACTCAATTGCTCTACAGCAACTTAATAAAATTAAATTAAATTAAAAGATATTATTCTTTATCTAGCTTTACATGAAGTCCGAGTATGTCCTTGAACGTGGCACTTCGTGCACGTTGGCGGCGCGCGCTGACGTCGCTCGCCAGTCTGGTTCTGGTCACCCCCCATCACCACCCTTTCTGCCTCTGCAATGATCTGCTGAGCCTGTTGGACCCGGAGCACCCCACCAGAAGCGATATATTGACGCTGCCGCTCCTGCTTTTGTCG